AGACTTTTCACATGGCAGATGGGTTTCAGTAAAAACAAATCTTGCGCAAATCAAATAGCGACACTACTCATCATCATCGAACTAAGCAACTTTCTGCCTCAACTTCAATGACCTTGAAAAAGCCTCTGATGGCGTTGACTGTTAATCAATTTGGACCTACTTCAACACTAGTGGCTGAAATGCCAAAAATGTGCATGAACCCTATTCAACGGCTTTATGATGTCATCCAGACGGAGGACTCAGTGATGCTTTTGGAACGAATATAGATGATAAGACTACTTACCGATGAACTTCCTGACTGTGGTTGACTGTGTCACTTCGCAGGTCATGAGGAGTGAGCAGATGGGCATACACTGATCTGACAGGAAAACCCCAGAACATCTGAATCATTTATATCTCATTCCATGCGAATTCGATGCTATGGTGGATATGGTTGGTACAATATTCAGCAAATATATAACTTCAAGTGAACGTAGAGAAAATAACCATAACAAACACCAATTACCATCAACGGGAGAAATCTGGAGGCATTCATTTCTTTCACTTATCTGATCTCGACAGCATCTAACTGATGAATACATCAAGATCAATCGGCATCCTATGGCGAAAGTAACGCCAGCATTCACCAATCCAAGGTCAATACCGAGATCTGAGGCAATTACCACAAGTAATAACGTCTGAAGTCAAAAAATGTATTGTGAAGTCAACACTTCTGTATGGCTCACGCGTCACTGAAAGCAATTCCAACAAACTGCGGATATCTATCGATAGATACCTTCTCTGGCCCACAATTAAAGATCAGATTATTAGCCGGAAATCATAGGCAACAAGGAGATGTCATAACAAACCAACTGGTAACTCATTACCAGTAAATATGCAGGAAAATGATTGAGTAGATTTTGGGCACGCTTATGAGACATTCAGATGACATCACATGCCAATATCTCAAGTGGGACCCTAGTGGTAAGCAAAGAGTTGGCCATCCGAGGAGGGTATGGGGAAATCATGTGCAGGGGGAACGAAAGTCTGTAAGATGTCATCGAATCAGCTAAAAATGATAACACAGGACAGACTGAAATGGAAATGTGTTGCTGCAGCCCTGTTCCACTAGAAACCCAAGGAATGAATAATAAATTGATTATAATCTCTTTACCAGACTTGAATGAGATTTAATTAACTTTTCACTATTATGGGAAAGTCAAGAGGCCTTACAAGTGTAAGTACGCAGCAAACTGAAAATACAATCACTGCACGACAGGTAAATCAATAAACATACATTTACAAATTAAAATGTTGCTGTCTCAAAAATTTGTTCTTATGAATTCATTAGAATAAATATAAGGTCCAGATGAGTAGGCCGATTTCCATCTAATTGAGTGTTTCATTTCACTTTGGATTTTTTCTTTTGAGTTTAGTTTACGCATAACGATTTCGTAAGTGCTATTGCCACAGTTGTTTTAAGAATACAACGATGAAAAAGAGTAAAGAAGAAGTCTAATGATAGGAATTTTGAGAAAGTAAATAAGGCATAAAAAAGAATTTGCTAGACATTCAATTCACATCACCAATATAGAGTGAATTAGTTAGACTCGAAGAAAACTCTTAGTTTTGTTTTTTAATCAACAGTAGATTCTGTCAAAATTCATAAAATCAAAAAGTCATACAATAATACTTAGTTTCAGAGTATTTTACCTGAAGTTTTCACAAAATTCTTTTAAAATAAGATCTGGATGTTCAGATACACTTTCGAGAATTTTGATAGTACTGATTTATTTAACAGATACTGTACTAATTTAGGGGTTACGAATTCACTTAGGATTAATAATCGTTGACATTCAAAGGCTAATTCATTCATAAATAAAGTATTTTTAATATGCGACTGATATGTGGCTATTCTGATTAATGAAGTCACTACCAACTTCAAATGTGTACAGTACTAGGCATAAGATGCTAGCAAATAGTTACAAATTGGTGAACGCAGATTAAATTCATCTTTGTGTTTTACTTAAGATCCGAGACTTCAGAATTCATTGTCTTTCTTCACTTTTTGAGTGTTGAGAAGAAGCATAATTCTCAATTTTCTGCACGTAAGGCTGGCAACCCTACCGTGTAAAAACAAAATCATTGTTAATAAAGCTTCAGAAGCTGAAAACACTATAATCTACCAGGACTGCAAGAAATGAAAATACTGTAATCAACGAAGTAATTGTTTTCGGAATACTTCTCTTTATTTCTTGCACTTTTTGAATGGTTTCTTAGTACAAATAAAATTTTTTGGATGAATGAAACAAAACAGCAGGTGTTTTATTGATAAAATTGACACTGTTTGAATTCCTTATGAATCTGTATTAAAGTATACATGTTGTGGTCATCAGTTATTGTCGACATTCCCAATTAAGATTATTTGAAAACTTAATATAAGAATAACAAACATAAAACTGGATTTAAAGTCGAGCGGTAGAAGATACTTGGTACCAACATACAGTGAAATTTTCTCCACTTGACTTAAATTAGTGAATAAATGTGAGATAATAAAAATATGTGGTTAACACTAGGGAATAAGAAGAGTTTCATTATCTTACCTTATTGTATTTCCATGTACTTACGCTAATTCACTTGCTTAAAAGGAAACGTGAGCTCATTGAGAAAAGACTCACCTTTTATTTAAATTAAAAACATTTTATGCAGTACACAGAATTAACCGATCTGGTGGTGAGCTGTTAGCTGACAATACTTTATCAGTTGGGTGGTAATCAATTTAAAACAACAGAGTTGAAATAAAACTGTGGTGCATTGCGCATTACTCAATAATAAAACTATTCTTAGGTTGAAAAATTTGAGAAACCTCGTCAATAAATTTATTAAATGGTTACAATGTTGAAAAATTTCGAGTGGAGAAAAATAAGTACAGCACACAATAGCTTGTGGTTTACAGAGCGATGAGGTGAAGCGCTAATTTTTCGTAGTTTGATAATGCTGATTTGTAAGTTCATTGCGCAGAAAGCAGGTGCAGGAATTTTGCTAATAAAAGTGTTGTGCCTGTCGTTCTTACATTTGTAAAACAAATCGAAGTTTAGACTGGAGGAGGTAAAGAACCCTACAGATTGCGTTATTGTTACCTCTCTCAGCGAAATCTATAATTTGTTTAAAAACAGAAATACTAAGTGACTTCGTATATCCCGACAAAAAATAATAAAATCCAACAGAACTTGTATAACACATAAATCATCCGTCTCCAGCCGAGCAAATGGACTGAAAACTTAATATGTTAGAGACAGATAAATGATCTTTAAGATTCTAATAAGACGCCTCTGTATAGTATGTTCTTCTTGTGTCATTTTTGAAAATTATTTCATGATTTCAGAAAGTGACTGTCTTTCAGTTCTGGTACATACAGTCTTTCGGCGTCCCAATATTACTAGGTGTATAGCAAAGATATCCGCCCATCTTATTTAATTTAAACTTAAATTAGATCCAAGCTTATCAGACAACAGGTAATAGGGAAGAAATGGCACTGCTACATCACATTGCTAAACCGTCTTAAGATAGTCCTTTCACTATCCACCACATCTGAAACGTATTCGCACTCATTCTTCATAATAATGATCACAATAGCTTTATTACACATAGTAAGTTTACACGGTATGCATAATTTACAGCGTGGTTTATGGCGTAATATTTTCTTTTCATCCAGGAGTTTAAGGTAAAATAGACATCTCCAGTACATCATGTGACGCAGTGATGGTAGATATTTGGAGAACCACCGACGTAAGTGATAGATTATAATGACGAGAACTAAAGAGAATAAGATGTATATTCTCGGCATCTCAGGTATATCAGTAATTCAAGCAGTCCGCCAAAGTGATCAGATATATTTTAGTTATAATTTATGTACAGCAAATATGAATAGCTACTAAGCGTCCTGTTTGCATCAGGTGGCCAGCCGTAACGTATATCTCGATAGAAATTTTGCTAAGACTCCTATTAAAATTGATGTATAGACAACACTGAAAACTGTTGTCTGTTCTCAGTTTAATATGTATTTCCCACTGATTGTGTTCAATTGAAATGCCTTAGTTCTTCTGACATGTCGGCTCCTAGAACAGACGCTTCGACAGTATGCGACAATTAACATGATGTTCTTTTGGTTAATGGTGACTAGCAGTAGAATTCAGGAGGCGCTTTCCGACCTGTTTGGGACTTACCGGCTAGTTGTACCTGCCTCCTCAATGAGAGATGGTGTTCCCGGGGGGGGACGCAAACCCTGAAAGAATAAATATTTAGAAGTGTATTATTTGCTTCTGTATGTTTGGTACTCTTTGTCCTCTGAGAGGACATTTCACGCATTCAATGCATTTTTTGTGTAAGCGGTTTATATCTGATACCACATTCCAACCCATAGTTTCAGAATCAATGAACGTACTGATGTGTTATTGTCTATAAAATCTGCAGTGTTTCAATTATTAATAAATCAACCCCTAGCGTAAGCACTGATGTAACTAACAGTTTATTTTTTGTCGTACAATATACATCAAGCTTTGAATGTTTTTAGCTGACTGGTTCACTGTAACAGGTGAGCGGAAAATCTTAAACTACTTTATTAAATCGAAGTGCTGCAATCTGATTGGTCTACAGTACTTTCTCTTGATTGGGTCAAAACATACTGGATGAATGATATGAAGGTCATTTATTCACTTCTTTCTATATTTTTTTCATAAGCGATGACTGTTCTGACTGGCAATGCTTGAATTTAGGTCACATTACTATTTAGTAGGAAAAACAGAGAAGACTAAAAGATGGAAGTGTTATCGAATTCATATTATTCATCTTAATCAGTATTAAAAATATACAAGCGCCTATAATGTTCACTGAGATTTACATAATTCTTGATTATTTATTACAATTCATACATTCGACTAGGCAAGGCACTGAAAACTCAGGCATACCATTTATCCTAAATTCTAATCCATGTTTCTTGGATCCTTCAATTTGTTTTCAAGTTCCGTCGGCTCCACGAAATCTACGCCTCAATCAGTTGAGAAGAGCTACTCCACCCGGTGCAAGTGATCCAAAAGCAGACTATGCAATCTTGGAGTTAGCGTGGGATCCTCCAGAAAGAACACATGGCGACATTCGAGGTTATCAAGTGTCTCATCGTTTGATTGGTCCTATTGATGTTCTGTATAATCATCCAAGTCGCCTGGATACTGATTTGAACTCACGTGTTACGGCTAAACCAGTAATTAGGAATGTTACACAAACTGCATATACTTCAGGTTTATCGGATGGAATAAGTAAGTCACTGCATTTGTAACTCACGTTATTTACTTGGTACTGTAATGTCTTTTTAAGAATTAACCTAATCGACTACAATTCCTTATTATTTCAGCTATTTTCCATGCATATGGTAGATTTCCCGAAAAAAACTCAGTTAAAGGTGCATAACTGAAACTGAATGGCAGTGTATCTGCATATGCGATTCAAAATGAGACACAAAATCCCTTCAACTAGCTGTTTGATTTCTGGTCTTATTTATTCTGTTTAGCATTCAAAAGACAGCTGATATCGTTTATTAAACACCTGGAGTATTGGAGTGGTAAAGTTTTCGCTCACCATGATCCCACCACCCGTAATTAACTTTAGTTTTCTGTGAATTATTCCAATTCAAATAACTTCTGATTCTATGAATTTTTATACGACTAGCTCACCACATATTATGTATTATATTTATTATTTGTTGAGACGATTTCTGTGACCCAGTATCAGTGTGCGTAACTCTATTTTATAAGGCTTAAGGTTGATTTTGACACATTCTTACTGAATAACCAACTTCTTATCTGATATTTCATTATTTTTGAAGACATAAGAAACGAGATAGAAAAATATCTGAGCGATTAGGGGAAACTTCTTGAAAAGATTCAACTCGTAGATGATCCTTTTAGCACTCACAACATACTGATTTATTTCTCTTTTATGATATCAAAGCGCTGTTCGACTTTAAATTCATATTTTGATGTGCTACGAACTCTCCAGTTTTTTAAGAGTTAATAAAACTACTTCTGTTCATTTTCTAAACTGAAAATTATCGTTTCACTGCTCATAAACATGTAAAAATTGTAAATATCTTTGATAATGAAGGGTGAATATTGCATTGTCACGGGTAATATTCATTCTCATAAGGCTACACATGTTCCATTTTAGTGAGACTAAGAAGACGATTATCCTAGGTCTACAGCTTATTGCTATCGTTGCCTATTTATCTTTCCCTTCGATAGTTTCCATGTGTTATTCAAATCTGTTTAATTATTTCCAAATTTCTATTAATGGGACTTCAAACTCAATGTTTCCTCTAACATACAAGTAGAGGTTTATGCAGTTTGGTGCTACTTCTGTCTAAATGAATTTCAACAAATGCTGTGAATGATATCGCTAATAACAAGCGTAGCTCTTTTTTCTATCGGCTGAAGCTGAATAACTTTATTTTCGAAGCTATGAGTATTGTATCCATTGAAACTTTTGAACTTTATCAGTCGTTTTATAGTAGATTCCAAATCTAGGAGGTACTCCCTGATAAGCCTTGTTTATGTATAGATAGACTGATAATGCAGTTGAATAAACCTTATTTGATAAGACATTCTATCCCATTTAATTGAAAACACCACATTTTTCAGACAAATAATACTATGCTAACAAATAAAAACTTCGAATACAACATCAGTACTACTAAAATGTGAATGGAACGAACCGATCCAAATAAATTTATTAATAGCACAAGTTGAACCCCTTCGTTCAAATAAGTATTGCGTTTTTCCAAATCACCTGCAGTCTTAGTCCTTATATCTTAAGACTCATTATTTAACTCAATGTTTGCATATACGGCATCTTATGGACAGCAGTAAATATCATTTGTCACTAGAAATTGTTTCCCTCACCTTATTATGACAGCAGTGGAAAATAAGTTTATAAACTTGCCATGAATTAAAGACCGTAAGTAATACTAATATCTGTTACTTCTTGAAACAAAATGTGATATCTTTCTTGAGAGAAAAGTAAGACAAAACAATTTATGTAGTCAGACATCTGTGCAGTCTTACTAATGCACCTGATTTTCTTGAAGCGATTTCTTTACCCATTTCTGAAAAACAAAAGATAGTTACATGTTGCTTGTAGAAATAGCAAGTGAGTAAATATGAATTTATTGTCAGTGACCAAATACTTTTGTGTCCAGACGTAGCCTTGGGCAGTTTAAACACAATGCATTTACATAACTGGATAAATCAAAGGTTTTTCGAAAAATTTAGAAACTTGTGTCGAAACTCTTGGTCGTATAAAATGTGTGTAACACTTCTGTTCCAAGTTTCTACATGCTTTTGGCGACGATTTGAGAAAAACAGCTATTAGAATTCTCGCATACAATTCTCTATTACTCCATAAAAACTCATTTATACTTCAGCTGCAAAAATAAAGGCTTGCCAGTGTATAAAATGCAAACACGTCTGAATAAAATCATGACTGGGTGAATCGATGACCTTCGGAAATCCCTTGGAAGCATCCAACTTTAAAGTATGCAAAGGGAATAATTATTAAGTAGGACGAAATATTAGTTGTTTCGCTATGCGTGTCCTTCGGTTATCTAATGTTTTTTATCATCAATCCTAAAACCCTGAATTTGGACTACAGGAAAGAAGTCTGTCAAAACCCCATCTTCAATCTCACCACCTACATTTCTGATTGCCATATATATATATATATATATTATTGTTCCCTTGGGTTACTAGTGGAACACAGGGCTTCAACTGCACGTCTTCACTTGCTTCCTCCTTCTTCTGCTGTACTTTTCACCTGCATCCATCTTAGTCCATACTCTTCCAACTCCTCTTCACACGATCTCCTCCATGTCACCCTTGCACTGACGTCCCACTCGCCGCATACTTCCCTTTCGGCCTGGTCCCACTCCAGCAATGGCCTGACGCGCACGCGATGTCACCCAGCGGCGACCTCAGCGATTCAATCTCCATCCAATGCAGCTCCACTTTCTCCTGCATATTTGTTGGTTGGCGATTGCTTCTTGCTTTGTTTGTTCTCAGAGTTTCTTGTTGGTGATTCTTTCCGTCCCGGCCATCTGATCTTCAGTATAGAGCCAGCGAAGACAGTTGTTGATAAAGGTCTGCAACAGGCTGTTGGAAATATTCTTTGTGACCCTCCCGCCAAGTTTCTGATGCGTATAAAAGAACTGAGTGACTTGACGTTTGTATTAAAGATCCGAATATATATATAACATTCAATCTCCGTTGAAATCCTGTTTCAGCTGTATATTATATCAATAGTAGCAAATACTGGTTTTATTTCAGTGTATAAATATGTCCTCATTTACGGATACACTTATTACCAAATTCCAAAGTCTTGGTTCTTGCCATCTAAACATGTATCATTTAGAATGAATACATGCATGAATGATATGCAATTAGAAGCTTAGTCTGATTTCCACCAATATTTTATTTGGTTTTAACTACTGGAAGCAAACATATGTTTCCTTTTAAATCGGTAACAGTTATTGTCACTTTTATTTGCTACTTAGGTAATAAATTGTATCACTCTAGACAGTTTACATATTTCTTTATATTTCTATGCGCGTGTGTATGTGTGATTAGAAAAGACTGAACAACTGTTGTCTAGTGTAAAAAAATATAAACAAGGCTCTTTTTTAATTCCATTTACATGCCATTAATAAACTATTTGTTATTCACACTGATATTGTGCTACAATTATTATTCTTGTCATAATTCAGAGTTGTTTAATCAATTATTATTTTTTTTTGGTGAATTTGTCGAAAACTGTGCATTGCCGTCATTCTAGTGGTAGACTCTTTAAGGTATGCTTTAAGAAACCGGTCTTCAATATTCTTTCTAAAAATAATATACAGAAAATAATAAACACAGAATAATGTCTAGAAAGTAAAATGAGGCGTGCAAACTTTGGAACAGTTGGTGCTTTTGTACTACTGTTTTGATGATAACAGTATTGGTGGGGAGAACAATTTACTTAATTTGTAATAACTTTGTATCTTCTTTAAGTGTCATGCAAAATGCCCAACTCATGGTTTTCATGAAATGACTTACACTCAGCCTTCTATTATTCAGCTGCACATCCATAAAATACTGCGATTGCATTGGTAGTCACCAATTCTCATGTTTGTTTTTTATCACTCACGTGCACTGAAGAATTAGTCAAAACAAGAAAACTGTATAATGAAAAATATTTAGTAATGAATAAAACTTGTGCACTGCGGTAGAGTATAATTCCATTATACGTAAAATTTGTTTTATAATGATGATGATGATTTTGTTTTGGAATTCGCCGGAAAGAGACTCTTCGCTGAACTTCGTGTTTTGTTTTCATTTGATAAAGTCTCACACTGTTATACACTAATGTTTACTGATGACGTTTCGAGCACAAACTATCGCTCATAAACATATCAAGGTACACACACAACTCTCTAACTTCATTTATATAATTCCATTATTTTTCATCACTTGATTTGAATGGTAGTAGTGTTCTCCTTATTTCCGGTATGAGTGAGGAGCCATTTCTATTGCATGTATTGGGTGTAGACTCGATGAACAAGGATTCAGTAATCAACCTCTCTCTCCACCTACCTAGATTACTTTTTAGAATTTTAACCCTCTCCCACCCTATTGTGTGGTTGTGTGTTAGCGCATGCATTGCAATTGCTGAGCTTTTTTCTAAACTACTTATCTTTTCAGGGTCAACCATTCTTACCTTAGCCAAATTCTTATGTTCCGACAATCTGACTACCCCTGACCTACTAGTTTGACCTATGTAGTTGACCTTACTCACAGTCATTGCATGGTATTTTGTAAATTATATTATTTTGTTTAATTGGGCCAACTGGGTCCTTTAACCCACAGAGGTTGTCCCTGAGTGAGTTTGTAGGTTTAAATGGCACTCCAATTCCTGTTTTATTCAGAATCCTACGTAAGGTCTCAGATGTCTCCTCCTTATATGGTATACTGGTAGATGCTTTATATTCGCTCCTATTTATGTTATCATTACTGGTTTCATAATTATTTTTATTTCGCTATTGGCCTTTACTGATCTTCCTAATGAATTTTATAAGATAGTTATTCAACACCAACGCTTCTTCTCTCTATTTTATTTCGTCATTTAGATCTTTTTTATACTACTTTGTACTACTGCTCGGTTTGTTAGACACTTAAGTAAGCCTGCCTTAAACGTTACCGGTTAAGGCAGTTGTTAATCATAAGAACTACGT